TTGAGATCCCTTTGTTTTGGGTGAGTTTCATGGGTTGTATTTGGGCTGATTAATGGGTCAGAATGGGCTATAAAAAATAGGAATTTTTTCCTTCCTATACCATATATGAAAGTTTATTAACAAAAATGTGCATATTTTGTATGTTACCCGCCCAGTCCACATTTTACCTACAAAAATTGTACCATTCGAAAATCAGGCATTAATGGATCAGAATATTCCTTAAAAATGCGCTAAAATTAAGGAGAGATTCTTGGTGATAATTGATTCTACATTAAATTAAATCTTTAAAAAGGGAAAGGAGATTTCATATCTGCGTTTTTTTCTCCAGAAATACAATTCAAATTCTGAAAAAAAAAGGGAACGAACAGATATTCAACTACTAACAGCTACAAAACTACGAAAATATTCAACTACTAACAACTTCTAAGATTTGAATTCAAATTGTAGAATTCAAAATTTTCGAGTTTCAACAACTCAAAGTTGAAAAAATCTGTTCTTCGTTGTTGCTTCTATCAAATTGTCGATCAGATATATCTCTTCTTCATCTTTTCTTCTTTCAATCTAGAAATCAAAAAAAAAATATCAACATCGACAACAAATCATGTACAAAATCGCAATTATGCTACAATTTAATGGCAATTGGGATACCTATGGTAGATTTAGGGATTTTGAAGTGGATGTCATTGTGGTAGATGAGAATGCAAGCTACAGTACTCTGATCTCTACAATTGCAGAACAACTATCAATTGATACTGCTGAAAAAATTGTAGAAATCAAATACATCATGAAATCAAATAGTAGATTGTATATAATTTGTAGACAAATTGTAGTCAATTTGTAGATTGTAGATAATTTGTAGATATAATTGTAGATACGTTGTAGATAAATTGTAGATAAACTATTTTATGATTGTAAATATTTTTATTGCTGTTTGTTATGTAATTCTAGGTGAGGGCTTCAACAGATCAAATCCATACTGTGATAGATGGTATGAAGCGGTACATGAATCCTACATTATAACTACTATTAACTACAAAAACTCTACAATTATGTATAAAATCAGTTCTACAATTCAAACAAATTTACCTACAGTGAATGTACAAATTACCTACAGTTTAAGTACCTAATATAAGAATAACTACAATTTACCTACAGTTACAGGGCAAACAGGAAACACATCATCCACAATCATGTCTACATTATATCTACATTTTAGACTACAATTAATCTTGGAATGTTCTACATAAACTACAAACTAACTACAATTACACTACAAACAGTAAATCTAGGTGAGGGCTTCAACAGATCATATCCATTACACTAAATCTACAATTACACTACAATTACACTGCAATTACACTACAAATACACGAGAAACAGTAAATCCAGAAGAGGAAATTTTGTTTGGTACCCAAAAAAAAAACTACTAAAGTGTATTTGTTGTCATTGTTTTGCTAGTTCGTGGCGTATTAAAATGTTTGTTGCAACTTTTGATTTCGTATAGACTTTCAGAAAATCAGATCACATGCCACATTTGTTGCAGAGGAAATTGGCACGACATTCAAATATAATGAGATTTCGCTGGCTAATGCATCTCAAAGGACATCTTTCGTTCGTTGATTGATCTTGCAATCGTGGATGAAGAACAAGAAAGAATGTGGGGTATGGGTAAAAACGTGGGTGAGGGGGTGAGGGGTAAGGAGAGAGAAACGTGAGATATATGGATATCTTTAATTAAGGAGTAAAAACTGCCCATTAATTAGATATGGATACCTTTAATTAAGGAGTAAAAACAGCCCATTAATTAGACCCTTAATTAAGTATGGTATATGATTGGTAATTTGGTATACTAAGTGTAATTTACTCAAACCTTAAACATGTAGGGTAAAAATATTTCGTATGTGGTATAGGAATGTAAAAATTCCTAAAAAATAATAGGTTAACTTGGGCTTAGCCCAAATAGACCCATGAGCTAAAATGTTTGTACCTCAACTCATTAATTTCTGGGCGGTTGGGCGGATTGAATTGGTTTGGCCGCAAATTGCCACCCCTACTCCTAGCTACTTAACACACAGGTAACTAATTCTTGTAAGAAAATCAAGACAGTGAAGAGTTTAATTATACAATGAAATGATTTGAAAGCTGTGCAACTGAAGCAACAAAGCTGGCGAGAAACATGAACCAAATGTACTGTTTCCTAGTTACTATAGCTCCTGCAGCCATCATTTTAATTAATTATGCAGAGCGTCGGTTCGAGTGGCCGGTTTCTTGATTATGGCTGAGAAGGGGAGAAAACGGTGGATTTGAAAGTTTTCGTTAAAGAAAGCGGGTTGTTTTTGTGTAGTGCAGAATGAAGATATAAGGGACGTTTTGATGGAAATATATAGAAAGGAAATGGGGTGGGGTGGATATTATGGTGTTTATATAGGGGTTACTCCTCCTGTTCCAGTATATGTGAACTTATTTTTTTTTGTCCGTTCCAAAAAGAATGACCCCTTTTTAAATTTGGTAATAATTTAGCTCAAACTTAAAAGAAAAAAGAGTGAAATTTTCAATTTAGTAAATTTTTTACGTGGCACTAATGTGATACGCGCATATAAAACACCTAATCTCGTGAAGAAAATGTAAAGAAAATTATCCAGAATCCACGTAGTATTATATATAATAATAGATGAAAGGTCACATCAATAGAAACAAGATAACAAATAAAATATAGAGGGTGAATTTTGCCAGAAATGAACCCTCACTTTTTAGGGCCTAGTTGGCCTTGAAAAACTCATTAAAACAGAAAGTTCTTGGGCTTAAGATGAAAACACTTGTTTATGGTGATTAAATAATAAACATTACTGTTGGTTACAATTTTGTTAAGTTTCCCATAACAAATAATCCGAAATTCAGGATCTAGTTATCAAACTTTCTTTTATAAGACAGGAATGAGAGGACAAACTCTTTATAGATGTGAAAAATACTAAACAAAGATTCTGTTAAAGTAACATTATTGCTTAGTTACTCTATTTCTTATTTTGATATGTGAACATGATTGTGTGTTACGAATAGCTAGCTTTACATTAAAGTTGAGAGGGCAACTAATTGCATCCGTTACATTTATGCATAAATTTAACAGCGTCGCTAATTTAAGGTTAATGAACAGTTGATCTACTCTTTGAACCAACTACAAACCAACTTTGGAGCTCGAACAATATGAATTTACTGACAACGGGTATGATGGAATGGATGAGACGTCTCTACTTAACCAGAAGTCTTGATTTCACGTCTAAAGAATGAAGAAAGTCATAGTATGGAGCAATCCCCCTATGTCTAAATTAATCGGGACAGTGGGATTCCAGATTATACCGAATAAATATTAGAGGACAAACAAAGAAGAATATGAAAGTACAATAGATACAATAATGTTTTCCTTTTCATTTATCAATGTTTAATTACAAATATTATTATAAGTGAGGAACAATGCAATTACCAGCACCTCCAAATAAGAAATTATAATCCCAGTAGCCATCTAAGGCATTATTCCAGAAAAGGAATATAACTCAAATTAGAAAAAGAAAAAAAAATCACCAAAGAGGCAGTATAAAAGATGATGGAACAGATACCGGCTTAGGCTTTTTTCTTCTTTGGTGTATAATCCTGTAAGTTGGTTATTGCATTATTAGTATAGTTAGTAAATGGTGCAAGTGAAAGAAAACACAAAAATTGTAACAGTGTTATATTATCGACAGTAAACAATACATTTCTTTCAATGTTGATAACAATATTCTCATAGATGCACATGGATTCCATATTTCTATCTCATTTTTTTTTTCTATAAATTTAGAGACTTGACTTTATTTTTAAAATATCAAATTTTTCGAAATCTATCCCCTCTTCTATGCATTTTCCCCCAGAACAACATCAAGTATCAAGTGTGATCTGCTACATAATTTGAATTCGTTAAAGTTTTGTAATTTAAAGTGCCGCTATTATAAAATGTTCTATTTTGTTCCATTCTGCGAGGAATTAATTCATAACCTTAGACAACGACGAATGGATTAAAATTCTTAAGGACACATAGTAAATTTTGTGAGCTGGGAATTATTTAACGTTTCTGGTTGTCCTATTTTTCCAGTTCACTGCCATTACTGTTTTGTTAACATAGTATATTAACAACTCCTCCATAAGTAGGTATAATAAGAAGCAAGAATTTCTCCCTACGGATGATATTTGTGCTATCAGAATCACATTTATTTCCTTTTTTAACTTGAGTAGGGAAAATTAAATCAAAAGAGAAATAAATAATAAAATTAATTAGTATTTATTTTAGATATAAATTTTAACATAGTTTAATTACTGGCTTCTGATGGAATGGAGGTTTGAGAAGAGATGGAAACCCTAACTAACGAGGGAGAAGAGAGAAGAGAGAAGAGAAAAGGAGCATGAAGATGAATATAACAATAGTGAGAAATGAATGCTCTGCTTCCATTACTTGTAGAAGTTGTATATATACAAGGCTTTACTAACTCCTCTAACCACCTCACTAATCAATTACATGTATCATTAACTAACTAACTAATACACTAATCTGCTAACACATAAATAGACTAAACTACCCATGTATTCAAGTTACATCTTTTGTCTCAACACTCCCCCTCAAGTTAGGTGGTAGAAATACATCAAGTACACCTAGCTTGGACAGCAAATACTCGTGTTGCACTCGTGATAGACCTTTGGTTAGAATGTCTGCTAATTGCTCCTTTGTAGCTACATATTCTTTTTGTACCAGACCGTTCTATATCTTCTCCCTTATAATGTGAAAGTCTATTTCAATGTGTTCGTTCTGAAACACTAGGTTGGCAGCTATTTGAATTGTTGCTTTACTGTCAGTGTAGATGTTCACGGGGAGGCCAACTTCCAATGTCTTTGAACATACCAAGTATCACCTATTCAGCCACAGTTGATGCAATGCTTCTGTACTCAGATTCTGCAAAGCTCCTAGAAATGGTGCTTTATTTCTTTGACTTCCAGGATATCAGGGAATTACCATACTTGATGAAGAAGCATGTTACTGACTTCATAGTGATAGGGCAAGCTGCCCAGTCTGCATCACAATATGTAGTGATAGTGTTTCTTTGTTTACTAGACAACAGTATGCCTTGGCCTGGTTGGTTCTTCACATATCTAACCACCCTTTGAGCAGCTTCCAAATGTGATCTTAACTGGCTTAGTGTCTGAATACTATATGCTATGTCTGGCCTTGTGACAGTTAAGTAGAGTTGTTTCCCCAGTAATCTTTGATATTGGCTGATGTCTATTAACACTTCATCATCAGTTGCATTAGAGCTGCTAGTATGTTCATCATACTCCTTAGTAGTCAGTTTGATGTTGGCTTCAATAGGTGTTGCTGCAGGTTTTGCAGCTCCCAGTCCAAGCTCATAAATCAGCTCTAAAGTGTACTTCCTTTGGTGCATTAGAATGCCTCTTTGTGATCTGGCAAAGTCAATGCCAAGAAAGTATTTAAGATCTCCTAGATCTTTCATTTTGAATGACAGCTATAGCTTGGTCATCATCTCAGCTGTTAGTATCAGTTTAGGCCCATTGATTAGCATGTCATCAACATACACCAAGATGATTATGATGTGTTACCTTGACCCTTTAATGAACAGGGAGTGGTCATGTTGGCTTTGCATGAAGCCAAACCTCAGAAGTGCCTCAGACAGCTTAGCATTCCACTGTCTTGGTGCTTGTTTAAGCCCATACAGAAATTTCAAAAGTCTGCATGCTGGTCTTGTCTCCCCCTGAATCTGAAAGCCCTGTGGTAAGGTCATGTATATCTCATCATAGAGATCTCTTTGAAGAAAAGTATTGTACACATCCATTTAATGAATGTGCCAATGTTCAGAGGCAGCCACAGCTAGGATGGTTCTAATAGTAACCATCTTAACTACTGGACTAAATGTTTCTTGGTTCAATGCCCTCCTGTTGGCTGTACCTTTGGCCACCAGCCCGGCTTTGAACCTCTGCACCTCTTCTGTAGCTTTGTACTTCATCTTATATATCCCCTTACAACTACTAGGCACCATGCCTTCAGGTAGGGGTAGCAAATGGGCGGGTTGGGCTGAATTTGGGCGGGTCAAGATGGGTTAGGTCAATAAATGGGTCATTGCCCAACCCAGTCCAAAATGTACTTGGGCTAAGATTGGGGGGGGGGGGGGGGGAGGGTAGGGTGAAGGGTGGTGCAGAAAAACAAAAAAATAGAAAACTAAAAATAAAAAAAAAGTAAAAAAAAAATATTTGAGGGGGTTTGCAGGGGTGGGGGGTAGTGCAAAAAGCAAAAAAAAACAGAAAATTGAAAATACAAAAAAAAATAAAGTAAAATTTTTTTTGAGGAGATTTGCGGGGGGGGGGGGGGGTAGGGTTGTGCAAAAAATAAAAACCAAAAAATTGAGAATACAAAAAAAAATATAAAAAATTTTTTTAGAGGGGTTTGTGGGGGCTGGGGAGTAGGATAGGGGGTACGGTGGTGCAGAAAAATAAAAAAAATTAAAATTTAAAAATACAAAAAAAAAATAAAGAAGTAAAATTGGGGCAACTAAGTAAATTTCTAGATAAGTTGGGTTGAGATCCCTTTGTTTTGGGTGAGTTTCATGAGTTGTATTTTGGCTACTTAATAGGTCAGAATGAGCTATAAAAAATAATGGGTTAACTTTGGCTCAGCCCAAGTTGACCCATGAGCTAAAATGTTTGTAGCCCAACCCATTAATCTTTGGGCGGGTTGGGCGGATTGTATGGATTTGGGCTCAAATTGCCACCCCTACCTTCAGGTAAGGACATCACATCCCAGGTATGATTGTATTCTAGTGCAGCAATTTCAACTTGCATAGCTTCAACCCACCTAGGATCTTGAGCAGCTTGCTCAAAAGAAGTAGGCTCATGGATTGTAGAGAATGATGTCAAATAGGCCTGATATTTGGGACAAAGTCTATTATAGAATACATAGTTAGCAATTGAATAGGGAACATATTTGTGTCCAGGCTGTGACACAAACTCCTTCATCAATACGGGAGCCTGCCTTGTCCTCAAGGATCTCCTCAGACCAGTGGAGTGTTGAGTAGGAGGAGGAAGTATAGAAGGCATCACATCTGCTGCTGACTGGCGAAAAGGAGTAGACTCATGCCTAGCAGGAACAGAAGGAAGTGAAGGCTGCTCTTCACTAGAACTGGATAAGTCAGGAGGCAAGAAAATAGGAGATGATGTGGATGTGATGTCTTTGAAGGGAAATATATCTTCCCTGAAGGATGCATCCTTGTTGATTAAAAAAACAATGAGAAGAGAGATCCAGTAGAATGTAGGCCTTCTGAGTATCAGAGAATCCCATGAGAACAGCTGGCTTAGCACTGGGAAAAGTTAATCTGTTTCATGAACTTGCTTGGCATAGCACTAGCAACCAAGAATTCTTAAGTGACCCAGGTTAGGTGCCCTACCATACAACAGTTCAAAAGGGGAAAGACCATGAAGAATAAAGATGGTATCCTATTTATGAGATACACTGCTCCAAGCACACAATGCCCCCAATACTTGATAGGAATATTATCTTGAAACCTTAACGCTCGTATGACTTCTAGGATGTGCCTGTACTTTCTCTCAGCAACTCCATTTTGCTGAGGAGTATAAGCACAAGTTTTTTGATGAATGATACCATACTACTGAAACAATGTGGTACAGTTAGAGTTGACAAACTCAGAGCCATTGTCTGACCTGATTGCTTTCACAACTTTGTTAAACTGAGTTGAATGAAGACAATAAGCTGAGTAAGCACCACACATACATCAGATTTGAGCCTTAGTAGAAATAGCCTAGTCATCCTAGTAAAGTCATCAACAACTCTCAGAAAATACTTAGTGCCATCAAAGGTTGCACAGTTATATGGACCCCAAACATCAAGATGTATTAGATCAAATGCAGCAACAGTCTTAATACAACTAGAAGGGAATGACAGCCTGGTTTGCCTATCCCAAGGGCATACACTACATTTATTGATAGAGTCATTGATACTAGCTGTGAGCACGTGATTTTTGCCCTATATGGATTACTCCCAGAAATTCAAACAAAATGATTTCTTTCCTTATTTGCAATTTTGTGGATTTTTGTGACATTTTATGTTAATTGTTTGCATTTTGTTTGTGCATTTTAATTAATGAAAAATATAAAAATATACTTGACATTTGCATCTAGGGTTTAATTTCATATTTTAGGATTAATTAGTAATTATGTTACTTCAAAAACAAAGAAAATAACAAAAATGGTTCGTTTTGCATTTATACTTTAATTTGTCTTAGTTTGCTTTTAAATTAGGAATTAGTGTATTTGGAAATTAAGTAATATAATTTTAGAGTCAATTTGGGTCTTTATTTTTGATTTGGCATTTAATAAAAATCAGAAAAAATATAAATAATAATAAGAAGATAAAGAAAAGAAAAGGAAAAGGTTGTGTTTAAGTTGGTTTTGGGCCAGTTCCGAATTGAAATCCTAAGCCCAAAATTGATCCCTTCCCAAACCAGTGGTCCAGGCCCAAATACCCAATACCCGATCTACCCCTGTCATAATCGAAACGACGCGTTTCCCCGAGTGTTAATCACAGCCCTTGATTTTTGGATCCAACGGATGGGAACTGCCGAGGTTCCTGCTATATNGGCCAAAAATGGAGAAAGAAATGCAGCAGTTACAAGACCACCACTTCCATGACTCCCAGGTGCTAGAAGCCCGCAAGCAAATAAGTCGATTACTTCAGGAAAAGGGCAGGATCAGAGAAAGAATTAGAGCCATTGCGGAGTATATTGTCATGAAATGTAAAGCATGCGAGAACATGACTCGTACCACTTTCTTTGCTGCGGTGATGCTTTTTGTCCGCCAAATTATGAGCACCCACCGCCTTGGACTGCCGCCGGAAATCGCCTCACGGCGGCGGCCGGCCACCAAACGACCCCAAAAATACACCACTGCCTCCCCTCGTTCCCCTCTTTTCCAAATTCGCCGTTATTTTCTTTCGAATCGTCACCAGGCTTTTTGAATCTTGAATCAAAGTCTCGATACCAAAACCCTAAATCGTCAGATGGCACCCAGAGTCACACCAGGACTTCGTCTTCATCCCCCCATCGTCGAACCACCATTAATTCCTCTCAAAATCCACTGAAACGCCCCCAAATTCCCTAACCCTAGCGCCGCCCAATTTTTCCCCGATGGCGGCACCGCCTCCAAATCACCCCAAAATAATACCCCATGACCCCCAGGCCCCCTCCATGCCTAATATGGCAAACACACCCTTTGAATCCACTCAGACTTGCTCCAATATTAGATCCAAGGTCCAGTTTCAACAGTCCGAACTCAAGCTTCAATTGACGCTGCTCGTATACATATTAGAATATCAAACGTAGTGTCAAGATTAGTCAGTAAGTTTTGTTAATCTGATTTTGTTTATTTTGATTTAGTTCAGTATTTGTTTTGCTCTTATAACTGTTTTTATTTTAGTTTAGTCTTGTTTGCATTAGTTTAATTCTGTCATGATTTTGTTTAATCTCGATTTGATTCTTATTTTGTTTTGAGTCTGTTAGTTTAAGTGTCATTCCGCTATGGTGATTGTTTTTATATATATATATATATATATATATATATATATATATATATATATATATATATATATATATATATTATCATTATTGTTGTGTAATCCCGTTCT